GGTATTGATAGTATGAAAAGCATATGAATTAAGTGGCGTTTTTACTATCATCGGAAATAAAAAAAAAAGATTATTTTAAATAAATTCGTTTTTTTTTATTGTGATTTATTTATAGTAATTTATAGTAATTTATAGTAATTTATAGAATTTATAGTAAAAAAAAAAAAAAATTTATAAAAAATTATATAATAAAAAAAATTAATTATTATATTTTATTACACGTTATCTTTTTTTAAAAAAAAATTTATTTTTTTTTTACTTTTTTTATATTTATTATTATTTTTTATTTATTTTTTATTAATATTTTTAATATTTTAATTTTAATTTTTTTATGTTATTTTTATTTTTACTTTTTCCTTTTTTAAATAATCTTTTTAAAATCTTTAAAAAATCTTAAAAATCTTTAAAAATCCTTAAAAAATCTTTAAAAAAAATCTTTTTTTATAAAAATTCCTTATTTATTACACGTCGATAATGTTCGGAAAGTTCGGAACGTCAAAAAAAGAATTCTATTTTTTTATATCGAAATACTTAATATATCGAAAATACTTAAAAAGTACAAGAAAGTGAAATCATTTTAATGCAAGATTACCGTAAAAATAAAAAAATAATAGAATAAAAAAAGTTTTCAATAGAATCAAAAAGAATAAAAAAATTGTTTTAACCAGATTTATCAATTGATTTATCCTTTATATAATTTAATATTATATCAATTTAGGAATTTGATACAAGATAATATAATAAACAAATCAAGACTTTAAATAAACATATTTCATTTTAACAATCAATCGATCTCTCTTATTTTAAATCATTTATTAAATATTTATTTTATTATACATACATATTATACATATTATACATTATATATACATATACATATTACATATTACATATACATATATAATATATAATATATGTATATAAATATATATATACGTACAGTAAATATAATATATAGTATAAATATTTTTCATTTTTTTTCAGGAGCGATTACTTAAACAAGTATAGTTTGAAAGTCGCAGTTATTTCATTGCATAGCCACAATCAAACTTTATTAATAATATATATATATATTTATTTATTTTTTTTTACGGTAGTCAATATACGACGAATTAAGAAATAATTAAGTTCCTATAGTTTACAAATAATAGAAATTCATTGCCAGTTCTGTCCTATTCTTTTTTTATATTTTTTGTGTAAACAAAAACATTGATCAAAAAAAGTTCATGAAAAAAAAAAACATAAATATGCTCCATGAAAACAAAATTTTCCTTTTGATAGTCAAAAAAAAATTTGGGAAAAAAAATTTTTTTTTTTTTAAAAAAAAATAAAAAAATAAAAAATAAAAATAAATAATTAATAATAATTAATAAACAATAAAAATGATTGGACATTCAACTTCACGTGCTTGTGTTTTCATAAATTCAAATAATCCATCCTTACCCAGTCAATTAATAAATTCTCCTACTCCTTTGATACGACCACCATTTCCTCCTACAATAGATCCACACGATCTAATTTCTCCAGTTAATACTTCAAAGGATTCTAAGGATGATTTAAGTCAAAAAAAGCTTCGTACAAGGGCTCCTAACGCTTTTATAATTTATCGTAAGGTTTTTATTGAAACTGCACGTTCTCAAGGTTATTATTTACCAATGACTGTGATTTCTTCCATGGCATCTCAATCTTGGGAAAAAGAAAATGAAGTGGTTAAATCTGAATATAGACGTTTAGCAAGGGAAGCTTTTAATATTCATTGTGAAATGTTACCAAAATCTTTTTCTCCACGTCGTAGAAAAAGAGAGAAATGGAACATAATCTCTTTTGATGACCAAGATAATAATAATAATAATAATAATAATAATAATTTTATGAGAACGAAGAAAGAGGAATTACCGGGTTTATTTAGTTGGAATAGTCGATCTACTACTGAACCTTGTATTGAACATGTTACTTTTACAAATCCAATGTTATCATCATCTAATTTATGTTCATCCGGTTTATCCGGTTCCCCTGAATTAAGTAATAATATTCTTTTAAAAGAACATTATAATCCTGCTCTTAAATTACCCCCTTTAATTCCCTCTAATAATAAGAATCATGCGATGCATACTTCACTTCCTAAATTATTTAAACCTGTAATTTCTAGTAAAATTCGTTTATTATTGAATGATGATGATGATGAATAAATAATAATAATAATAATAAAAAAAAAAAAAAAAATAAGACTTTATTTGTATTCATT